ATTCTGCAATGCAGCAATGTTCTAAATACATGACGGTTACCAAATACAAGTTGAGTCACAGTCTTAATAAAGGTGGATGTAGAAAAGTATAGACAACAGGTGTACAGTTGAAACATCCTTATGGATTCATAAAGGGATGCTTTACATTGTAACTCTGAAATGAAATAGACAATCCTGGCACTTGCAAGATGAAGAGACAATAGATAGATGTGTTTTGTCCACATCTTTTCAGAGTTAATAAATACAAGCAGTGGGAAAGATACAGTGGCCCACCCACCCTTCAGCCCACAAAGAGTTCCCTTGCGTTTCACCTCCCCCAATGGTATGCTTAAGAAGGGTGAAATCCAGAGATGGTATTCAGCCAGTTCAGACTGGTTCGTCCGAACCGATAGCGGAAACGAAATCACGGGTGGACCTGCCCAACTGCCCTGGCTCTACGCCTTCCTATTTAGGCACATTTTTGAGGCTGGGCGCATATGCAGAAGACAGGTGCGCCAGCAACATACATTCGCGGAAGGCCAGACACATGCGTGGATGGGGACGTGCATGTGTGGACGCACGCACGTGCGCTCACATTTGCGAACTGGTAGGGAAAGTAAGTGAGTACCACCCCGATGAAATCTTGCATTTTCAGAAAGGAAATGTGAGCTTTGTTAACATCTCTAGCTCCTTAGCAGAGATTTTTTTAAAAAAACCCCCACACAATTAGAAGTTCCTAATTGTTGCACTGCTGAAACTAACATTCCTGCTCTAACTTCAAGGCACTCTTAAAACTGTAGCCAAAAACTAGTACGTGTTTTAGCTGTGATTTTGTCTTCGTTAATGAGAATGTTCAAGTGGAATTGGTTTCAGTGTGCACGTTATTACTGCTTCTTGAATAGACATGCATTCAAACTCTGGGAAATATATGTCATAGTTTTGTTTACTGGGAAGATGCATATCAATATAATCAGACCTGCTTGAATTCAGTCCCACCTCTTCACACTCCAGTTAGAAAGCTATAACATGTTATGTACTGTATCAAAGCAAAACAATAAAAGAAGTCAACTGTGGAAACCCATAAAAGTACAATTAAACAATAGACCGCTTTGAAGCAATCCTGATTATGAATACAGAGAGGTTCTAAGTATTTATCTTCCGTTCTCCCTACATTGTATCGTTCATGGAATCCACCAGTGCTTTGTCTTCTTGCACACTGGATAATTTCCATGGGGAAGATTAACAAAGTAAAGATATTGAAGATAAAGTAGTGAACTAAAAAACCCTAACATACAGTAGTGGCCCAAATTGTGGAAACCTTTTGGGAAAAGTGTATTTTCTAAAACTAGTTAATAACACCAGTTTTCTTTTTGGAGTGGTACCATAAAATTATATATCAATGGAAAGATAATTTAATCAAGAATGTAATGCAATAACAGGAATGTGTGTTTGTGTTTATGTGTGTATGTGTGTTTGTGTGTTCTTTCATTTCTTTGTGTGAAACTGGGCTGCGTCTCAGAAAGAGATTGGTTGCCATACGCAGATAGAGAACAATTTTTGTAATTGGGACATTTCATTTTGCAAGAAATTAACTTTAATTGGTAATCTTAACTTAATTAGTATATATTTGTTCTTGGCCCTACCCTTTTTTGGGGGGGGGAATGTATGCATGTACATGCAAATATGCGACATGCACATATTTCAGGTGTGCGCGAATGATTAATTTCAACTGAAACTGGCAACTATATTTTTGTTCCATTTTATTTTAAGGAAGATAAGGGTACAATTCAGGACCATTCTTTGCAAATACATGCCTTGTATGGGTGCCTGTAATTTGCCACAGCGTGGAAAGGTTGAGCAGCTTGTGCCTTCAGGCAAGTACAGAATAGCAGGTCAGAAAGACACTGGAACAGCAAAACTCTGCAAAGATTCTTTTGCCGACTTGTGTTTTCCTGCAAGGTCCATTTTTAAGAATAGCCACCACTAACTGACAGTTGCTGAGCCCAGCAAAAATGTGCTTAATCTATACAATCGCAGGAGCTCAGCTGGAACTTTCTTTTCAGCATTATCTCTCTTGAGAAAACTCCTAGGCGTAGAATTGTTACAGAGTAAGGAGTGCACACCTGTACAAAAAAGGATTTCATATGGATATATTTTCACGCAAGCATTTCACTGTGGATTAAATTGATGCACAAACCATGTCAGGTCCAATTACAATGCCTAGAAGGTTAAACCACCAGCAGAGCTTATGAACTTTCTCCATCTTTTGTTGAAAGAATCAGTCACTGTTTGGGTGACTGATTCTTTCAACAAAAGATGGAGAAATGGGTTAAGACCAGTGGTGGAATTCAGCCAGTTCGCACCTATTCGGGAGAACCGGTTGTTGGAAGAAATCTTATTTTGTTTTTTTCCACTTTACAGGGCTAATCCTGTAAGGAAGGCAGGAAGGAAACATTCTGCTGTTGTTTCTAGACTAATCTTTATTGCCTTGTTTACAGAAACTGCCTCTCTGGTTAACCCTTATTACATTGTAACAGCTAAAGCGAAGCGCCCATCGACGTGAGTGATGTTGAGTTGGCCTCGTCCACACGGTCACATGACCACCGAGCCACGCTTACCCAGCTGGTCATTAGGGCAGAGAACTGGTTGTTAAATTGTTTGAATCCCACCACTGGTTAAGACCAATATCTGGGTCACAGTTGACCTAGGGGAATTACATCTACCGGTGAGTCTTTGTGTCAGGGAGGGGAAAAAACGAAGTGGAGTCCTTGGTGCTCTCTGAACTTGGTTGTTTTCTTGCAGACATTTCATTCCCATCCTGCTTACAATCTTTTTGGACTGTTGCCTTCTGGCAGAAGATACAGAACAATTAAAACTCGGACCACACATTTTCTGAATAGTTTTTATCCCAGAGCTATAATTGCACTCAACAATGAACTAAAGGGCCACCATCAGTGAGCTGTTGGACAGCATTACTTGGTCTGTTGTGTGGATGTTTGGGTGGTTTAGGGGTGGGGAATTTGTGGTGGGTGGGAGTGTGTTTGGGGATTGTTATGTGTGTTGGACCTGGTCTTTGGGTGTTAAGTGAATTTTGTTGTATCGGTATACTGTGTATACACGTACAATGACAATAAAGTTGTTGTTGTTGTTGTTGTTGTTGTTGTTGTTGTTGTTATTATTATTATTATTATTATTATTATTATTATTATTACCCAACTAGGTAACATCTGAAATATCTACATGAAAACAAACAAGTTCAGAGAGCACCAAGGACCCCTATCTTCTCTATCTTCTCTTCTGTTAAGAACTAAATTGTCTGAAATGCCACAGAATCCCAGTCATTGTCAGCAATACTGAACCAGATAGTGCCATAGCCTGACCCTTAATAAATGGTTATTATTTCATATGCACTGGCCTCATCCATCAAAATACAAACATATACTTTTGGCATTTTATTTTTAGCTATTTTCGTCTTATGAAAACTGACTGTTTAAATTGACAGCATGTACAGACAAGTTGCTCATTTCTGAGATATTATTATGACAATCACCTTATAGTTGGCCAGATGTGAGTAGGAGTTTTTGGGAAGAGAAAGGCAAGATGAACAGTCATAAAAAGAGAGCAATCGGCACACGAACAGAGTGAAAGGAAAAACATAAAATACTTCGCGAGACTAAAAAAATATATAGAATAACATGAAAGGTAGGAGGATTCTTGGTAGTGAAATATGAAATCACACATAACAGCTTGTTTTCCTGTTGCCTCCAGTTTTCAACATTCTGGAATTTTTAGTTTCAATATATCTAGTGACTATCAGATTGAAGGAACCTGCTCCATCTAATCAAGAATTCTTGGATAAAATGGAAGGTTATAATTTATTTATTTATAGCAATAACAATAGCACTTAGACTTATATACTGCTTCATAGTGCTTTACAGCCCTCTCTAAGCAGTTTACAGAGTCAGCATATTGCCCTCAACAATCTGGGTCCTCATTTTACCCACCTTGGAAGGATGGAAGGCTGAGTCAACCTTGAGCCTGGTGAGATTCGATCTGCCCAATTGCAGGCAGCTGCAGTCAGCAGAAGTAGCCTGCAGTACTGCATTCTAACTACTGCACCACCAAGGCTCTTATGGACAGATATATAATTTATATATCTGCCCATCTCATAAGCAGTGACTCTGAGAGGTGTGCAACAGTAACTATTCTTTAGAGAAAGGCCCAGGTTCTATCAGGTACTTCTGAAACAGTTTTGAAGGTATAACAGAGACTCAAATCTCACATTCATTATTGGTATAGTGAATAATTATTAATACATCTGAAAGATTTGGAAGGATTTATACCTGAGAATGAATTTGAATTAGACATTTCAAGTCCAAATCTCGTTTTATTATAAATTCCCATCATAGTAAGTTTTTAATACAATCTTTCCCAACCTGGTGTCTGACAAATGTGTGAGGATCACAACTCCCAGAATCTCCAGTCAACGTGACCATGTTGGATTGAATTTGTACTTGGCACTCATAGTACAAATGTGTGTGGAGTTACAATCAAAGAGACATGATGGCGGACTGTAGGGGAGGTTGCTTTGAGAGATGTGGTCTTTGAGTCCTGATAAGGTAAAGGTAAAAGTTCCCCTCACACATATGTGCTAGTCATTCCCGACTCTAGGGGGTGGTGCTCATCTCCGTTTCAAAGCCGAAGAGCCAGCACTGCCCAAAGACATCTCCATGGTTATGTGGCCGGCATGACTAAATGCCAAAGGCACACGGAACGCTGTTACCTTCCCACCAAAGGTGGTCCCTATTTTTCTACTTGCATTTTTTACATGCTTTCGAACTGCTAGTTTGGCAGAAGCTGGGACAAGTAACAGGAGCTAACCCTGTTACGCGGCACTAGGGATTCGAACCGCTGAACTGCCGACCTTTCGATCAACAAGGTCAGCATCTTAGCCACTGAGCCACCGCGTCCCATTGTGCCCTGATAGAGAAGTCTACAAAAAGATACATTTGTGGTCTTACCTGTCAAACAGTGGCTTCTCTCCACAATCAAAGGCATCCTGTAACTCTTTGACGAGGTTAGCCTGGCCCGGCAATCGGAAAAGTCCTTCCTCCTTCAACCCCCGCAGACGAATAAAATCCACACACTGTTCTACCAGCAACGGAGCCAAATGGTTTCCATATCGTTTCTCATAACGAACGGTGTCTTCCAGCTTCTGCCCAAATATTCCTGTGTATGACAACAGTAGCTGTAAATACTCAAGGTGAACTCTTAACGGTAAATGTGTCTTTCATTGCACCGTTTTACGTGGGCCTTGGGAAAACCCTAACACTAAAACTACATGATCTGTAATGATGTCAGATGCAAGAAGTCAGGAACCAAAATAGAGTAGTACAAAAGTACTACAAGTGTATTTCACTATCTGGTGTAAGAAGAAAGGGTGAACAGAATAGACATAACTATATACATAAGTATAAGAAGTCTGGTAGACCACAACATGAAGCTGATCTGCCACCAATAAGGGAAAATTTACTGTAGCTCCAGCTGCCTTCCCTTAAATGTTGCCATCTGGTGGGATCTCAGACACACCCACACCCACACCCCCACAAAGGCAAACACACACACAAAGAGGACATTCAGAGGATCTCCATACTATTAATCTTCTAGTGGGCTGTAAAAACCGACTCTTTGCCTAGCATTTGGTCTAAGGTAAAAGGGTGCCCCCAAAATGCAGGACTATGTAGAGTTTATGGAAGGTTGAGACTATGTTAGGTTATCTATACACAAGAATCTGAACTACTAACAGTCAAGGCAAATTGGTGCCAGATAAGAGTCAACAGACTTCAAAGGGGGCTACATTTAGGACTCTTATGGGGGCACAGAGACTCCAAACTGATGGTGCATTTGACCCTGCCCTCAGACTCAGCCTGGTCTTCTCTACAAATTATTAAATAATTTAAGAGTAGCCCTTCCCATCTCCTCCATTCCAGACAGCCACAGACATATCAATATATATACAAGTAGTCCTCAGCTTGAAAAAGGGAACTTACAACCTGGATCCAAAGTTCCTACAGTTCTTCCTATCATGATCACATGACCACACTTTGGGCATTTGGCAACATGGCGGCATTTAGGGCCATTTGTCCATGGTCATGTGACAGTCTTTTACGATGGTTTTGCCCAAAGCTGGCAGTTACTTTTGGTTTTTGGCAAAACTTCCCCATAAAGAATAATGGGGAAGTTTTAATAATAAAATTAAATAAAAATAATTTAATAATAAAACTAAATAAAAATAATTATTTATTATAAAAATAAATAATTAACAACAAAAGCATTTGTTTTACAACTTACCTGTTTGTTTAATGACTGCTACAAAAAAAGTAATAAAATTGGGTTGGTTATGCGACCAATTAGTTTTACAGCTGTTATGACATGAGCATAATGGGAAGACCCCATTATAGTCATAACTTGAGGATTATTTAAATATTTTTTTTCAGGGGACTGGGCCTGGCATGTAAGCATCACAAGATTCAATGAGCAGAAGGAAATTCTACTTTTTTTAAAAGAAAAAAAAAAGCAGATTTCTTAGCATAAAACTGGAGGGCAAGGATGAAAAGAAGAAAGCCGAGATCATTTATCTTTGGCCCCAGATGAAATTCTACAACTTCCAGAGAAACAGAAAAGGAAAGTAGATAAAACTGAATTGGAAGGAACATCTAATTCATAATTCTGTTGTTTAGAAATAGAGAAATGTCAAGAATAGTGCTACATTTGCGAACCGGTAGTAAAGGTAAGTAGAACTCACCTCTGGCTGACTTCTACCTTAGACCAAATCCTAGGCAAAGAGTCATTTTCTAGAGCCCACTAGAAGGCCAATAGTATGGAGATCCTCTGAATGTCCTCTTTCTACGTTTGTGTGTTTGTCTTTGTATGTGTGCGTGAGTGTGAGATCCCATTAGATGGAAACATTTAAGGGAAGGTACCTGGAGCTACAGTAAGTTTCCCCTTATTGGTGGGAGATCAGCTTCATGTTATGGTCTACCAGATTTCTTATACTTATGTATATAGTTATTTCCATTCAGTTGGCCCTTTCTTCTTACACCATGCAGTCGCTGTACTCCTAGATTGGAACCGCTCTGTTATTTTATATTTCACATTAGTTTCCCCCCATGATTACCAATACAGGGGTATAGATGGCACACTTGCACATGTGTTTCCAAATAGGTCTACCGGAAGCCACAGTCCAGACAGAAAAGGTAAGGCCATGACAAACATAAAACAAACAAACAAACAAAAATAATTTAACTTGATACCCTTCTGCATAAATGAATCTTTCTCCACCTCATTCACATTTTTTTCACTGTGGTATACAGAAACCGACAAACAGAAATGCTCCCCCGTATACTCTCACCTCTTCTTCAAGCAGAAACAGCAAAAAAGAGAAAGAGGGAGAGAGAGAGAAAGAGAGAGGGGGGAGAGAGAGAGAGTGAGAGAGAGAGGGAAGGAAAGAAGGAAGGAAGGAAGGAAGGAAGGAAGGAAGGAAGGAAGGAAGGAAGGAAGGAGAGAAGCAAAACAAGAAACCAAGAGAAAGAAAGAAGGAAGAAAGGAAATAAGGAGAGAGGGAGAGAGAGAGAAAGAGAGAGGGGGAAAAAGAGAGGGGGAGAGAGAGGGGGGAAGGAAAGAAGGAAGGAAGGAAGGAAGGAAGGAAGGAAGGAAGGAAGGAAGGAAGGAGCTGCCTGCAAGGATTGAAGGTTCGAATCTTACCAGGCTCGAAGGAAGGAAGGAAGGAAGGAAGGAAGGAAGGAAGGAAGGAAGGAAGGAAGGAAGGAGAGAGAAGCAAAGCAAGAAACCAAGAGAAAGAAGGAAGGAAGGAAATAAGGAGAGAGAGAGGGAGAGAGAGAAGCAAAATAAGAAATCAAGAGAGAATGAAGGAAGGAAGGAAGGAAGGAAGGAAGGAAGGAAGGAAGGAAGGAGAGAAAAAAACAAGAACAGGACAGAAATGCTATCATTACTATTTAATAGAGTTGAAATCTCCTCATATTGCTGGGTAAAAACAATATAATTCATCATTTAGAACTTTCAGTGTGATAAGGGAACGTCAAGTCATTTTTCTATATTGTTTGGGAGAAGTTTCTCATCCTTAAAAACCGAAATGCTTTGAATGTTGTAGGCAAACAAAATGGGGGCAGCTCAAATGAAGTATCTGCAAAAGCAAAGCTGAGCAAAACAAACGTGAGCAAAAACCTTCAATTATCTTAGTCCTGCGTTGGGAAATTGTTTCTTAAGGTGCTTTTGTCTAAATAGTCTGAGAGACCTGAGAGACCCAGGGATGCCCGCTTATCGTCTTATTCCTCTGCAACCCAAGTGAAGCTCCATCCGTGCCTAGTTCTGCTAGCTTCCTATGGAAGGGTGTCCTTCTTTTTCCCCATCATGTTTCTATTAGCAACCAACATTGCTTGTGTTGTTGTATTTTAGCTGCACTTTCTTTTATCTTTCTGGCAAGGCTCTCAAGGACAAATCGGCTTCTGTTTGAAAAGGCAACCACTTGTTTATGTATAACTCTTTAGCCACGTCAGTCATAATGACGACCTAGAAGAAGACCTCTCTGTTTGGTTATACATGGTGATCCTCCAGACTAGGGGTCGGTAACCTTAAATACTCAAAGAGCCACAAATGTCCTAACCGGAAGCCCCTCTTCAATTCTGGAGCCGACCGGAAGTCCGGTTCCCCCATCATAGTCTCCTCCTAGCACAGCGTCCTTTTTCCTCTGCTGACCGGAAGTCCGGTTCCCCCCACTATAGAGTCTCCTCCTAGCAAGGCATCCTTTTTCCTCTCCCTGTCCTAACTGAAAGCCCTATCAATTGTGGAGCCGACTAGCAACAGGGAGCCGCAGCAGAGGGATGAAAGAGCCACAAGTGGCTCCAGAGCCACGGGTTGCTGACCCCTGCTCCGGATCCTTCATCCATGCTAATTCCATAAACCGTACAGGTCCATTGTTTGATATTTCAAAACTTCAACGATGCTTGAATAATATGTTGGGTATGATTACAGAAGTTTGTTTGCTTTTTTCCCCAGGAGGAAGCGGTTTTACAGGTGCTGGAAGTTGAACAGAAGCAGGCTTTGTTTGAACATTAGCAGAAATGAATGCTATGCTGAAGTCTGACGTTGAGTTTCTCAAAGGTTTCCTCCCTCAGTTCCTAGAAAAAATGTATTTTCATAATTCAGCAATTCCTTTTGATTTTAAACTCCTCCCCCCACACACATACTTTTAAGCGTCTATGGCTACTTGTACTGCCAAACTGCAAAGTCTCATGGACTGAATTCTTATGACAATCCTGGGCTTGGATTGAAATGTGGGAAGTCAGAGGTCTGTAGGAATGAAAGTACTATGAAAAACAGGGCATTTATACCTAACATTTGGTCAACAAGAAAGTAAACAAGTGCAAGAACACAATAGCCCATTCATCAGGATTTCACCAAAATCTAGATGAGATAGCTGACAAGCCAAGCCAAGCCAAGCCAAGCCAAGCCAAGCCAAGCCAAGCCAAGCCAAGCCAAACCAAACCACATCAAAACATACATACACACACACATACATGTCATTCTCTTCTTTTAAGATATTTCAAAAGAAGACTGTATTTTCCATCCATTTGAAGGGATGGAGAGAAAATGAAGGAAACATTTTTGGTATGGCACCAGCATAAATATTCTAACAATAGAGCTGTTTCACAAGGAAGAGAACGCTTGGGAAATGGTTGAGTTTGCTATTAATGAAGATCTTTAATTCAGCACTCATTTGTCAGAGAAACTATATCTCATCTTAAGAATATGCTTAGGGTTAGGGTATTGAAGTATCTTGAACTTTATATCAGTATGTGGGTTGGATGAATTTATGAAGCTCAGAGAGTTGAATGAATGAACACTTCTTTTTTCCATAAAAACTTTTCATGATGAAAATGTTATAGATATGTAGAAAACCCCTTCTTAGCATTTTTCTCCTCTTTTTCTATTTCCTTTGTCTACTGCTTTGATACCCCCTTTTAAAACATGGACCAAACTTGGCTAAATGATTCCATTTCATATGATTTTGCAAAGCGGTGACATGAGAGCTTATGCACCGAAGACGAATTCCTTGTGTGTCCAATCACACTTGGCCAATAAAGAATTCTATTCTATTCTATTCTATTCTATTCTATTCTATTCTATTCTATTCTATTCTATTCTATTCT